ATTAAAACTAAAAAAAATTTATTTAATAACTTTAAATAAATTAGAAAATACATTAAAATAAATTAATCAATCAAATTAGGGCTGGGCGATAAAACAATCATGATAATTATCGATATCGACTAATATGAAAAATGTTATCGAGATCATTTTTAAATAATAATAATCATTATAATTTTTTTAATTCATTCTAATAACCAGTTTCATGTTCTTGAAGCCAAACTCTACGGTCTTTGAATTTTGGGGTGAAACACGAGCCGGATGTGCTTTTTCTGTTCTTCTCGTCAAAGCTAATCAGAAACCAGAGTCTTCCTCAAACACATCCGTTTGTTTCCTGATCTGTGTAATAATCTCGAATGCTCGTTAAGCCCTGCAGTGTTCAGTTCATCTCATCTGCTTCCAGTCGCCTGTATTAAATAGCCAGCTTGCTAATTGTTGTTCAATGTTAATTCGATGAACAAAGCACCTGCGATCCATTAGAAACATCAGAGAGCCGCTGCCAGACCAAACACTTCTGCTGAAACATTATGCTTCAGAGATTACATCATAATTATGCATTAAATAAACTAGCCATTATATGCTGTTTTACTACGGTAAAGGTAGAACTTGAGCGTGCATTTGAGAGAATCAACTGCAGTCTGTTCTTCATTGTATTTTCTGAATGTGACTTGACTTGACTTTTCTGCGTTTCTCCTGCTGCGATCCTCACTGTAACAACTTCACATATATTTTATATAAAGTAAAATAAAAACGTGGATGTCTATAATAATATCACATATATTTTATATAAATTATAAAATTAAATAAAATGTGGATCTCAGTAACAATTTCACATATATTGTATATTTTATATAAAGTAAAATAAAAAACACCTGGGTCCCACTAACAATTTCACATATATTTTTAAATAAAATATAAAATATAATAAAATATGGGGATTTCAGTAATAATTTGACATATTTTATATAAAATAAAATCAATAAAATACAATAAAAATATGTGAAATTATTACTGAAATCCCCATATTTTATTATATTTTATATTTTATTTAAAAATATAAAATGTGTGAAATTGTAATTTTATAAAACAAAATAAATAAAATTAAATTAAAATATGTGGGTCTCAGTAACAACTTCACATATATTTTAAATAAAATAAAATAAAATAAAATAAAAACAGGTGGATGTCCGTAATAATATCACATATATTTGATATAAAATATAAAAATAATAAAATTAAATAAAATGTGGATCTCAGTAACAATTTCACATATATTTTATCTTTTATATAAAAAATTTTTAATTAAATTAAAACATGTGGGTCCCACTAACAATTTCACATATTTTATATTTTTAAATAAAATATAATAAAATATGGGGATTTCAGTAATAATTTGACATATTTTATATAAAATAAAATCAATAAAATAAAATAAAAATTTGTGGGTCTCAGTAACAACTTCACATATATTTTAAATAAAACAAAATAAAATAAAAACATGTGGATGTCCGTAATAATATCACATATATTTTATATAAAATATACAAATAATAAAATTAAATAAAATGTGGGTCCCAGTAACAATTTCACATATATTCTATATAAAAAATGTAATTAAAAACATGTGGGTCCCAATAATAATTTCACATTTTATATTTCATAAAATAAATAAAAATGCGTGGGGGTCTCAGTAATAATTTCACATACAGAGGGACAGCACGAGGCCTTTCTCCTTTTATTTTTTAGCACGTTTCTGGGAAACCAACATTAGACGCAACTGTTGCAGTCTGGCTTGAAACCAGAACAATCTGTGATACAGACTAAATAAAATCATCTGAAATGAACAGAACATTCCGGAACTAAATTAATAAATGTCTGACTGAAAAGTAATATATTGCATATTCTTATTTTATTTTATATTATATTATATATATATATAAGAATATACAATAAAAATACAAATAATAAATATTAAAAAGAGAATAGACTCCAGTCTCTCTCTCGCTCATCATTCAGATGAACAGAGCTCTGGGCTATTTTAAACACATAAGATGAGCATCATTACTGGACACCTGACACCAGAATCCTTCCACGCGGCTCCAGACTCTCGCTTGAGATCTCAGCTCATCACGTGATGCTTTTAATGACGGTTTAACCAAACACACAGAGATGTTTGTCATCAGTATGTGATGAAACACAGTGATTCTGAAGAGTTCACAAAGAGCTTCACGAGCAGCTCTTAATATCTTCATGCATTATAGCTGCATATAGAGCTGGGAGATCATATACTTACATTTTACAACAATAGATTTTGTTTTACTGCAATGCATGTCACTTTGGATAAAAGCATCTTCCAAATGCATCGATGCAATTGTAGTTTTAGCCAAATGACCAAAGATGAATTTGACTGCATGCATGACTTTTGACATTAACAACATTATACAGTTTTTATATGCTTTTTTTGTATTTTATTATTTGCATTTAGCACAGTTTGCACACTGCTGTCAGCAAAGCCATGAAAACAAAGCTGTACATGTTTTCCGGGATGCAAGATGCTCGTGGAGACACAGCGCCCTCTAGAGCTTAAACTAAATAAATGGTATTAAAATAGTATTAGATTGTACAAATTAAAATAAATTATTTTCTTTATATACATACATATCAGGGCCTATATATATATATATATATATATATATATATCTTGTAAAGCAAGCTAGTTGTGCATGGACTGCCTTCTGAGTTTTCTGGGAGATGAGAGTGAGACCCAGAGCAGGAAACAGTTCCTGACCCAGGTTTCACCCGGCACACACATTGTCCCATAGCTGATCGTCACTGCAGTTAAAGGGTCTGACTGTCTCTGTGTGTTAACTCACCCCCCTCAGCCACATACAGGATGAAGATGCGCAGAGTAGCCGTTGTGCCCCTCAGGTCTTCCAGAAAACAACCAACATCACAAGAGCTTCTGTGCTGAACAGAGAACAGAGGAAAAGAGAAAAGGTGGTGTCAAAAAACTGATGGCAAAAAAAAACCCTTGATGTTTGAAGGTTTATAAACTGTACATATTATTTAAAGTTAAGCATAAAGACTGGGTAGTCTCCTGTAATGTGAGGCTTCCATTGATAAGTGCACTATTGTTCAAATACTTTTGAGCAAGAACACACTGAAATTATAAAAAGTGACAGCACAGACATTTATGTTTATAAAGATTTCTATTTCAAATAAATGCTGTTCTTTTGTCCTTTCTATTGATAAAAGTATCATGTATCAGGGTTTTCACAATAATATTAAGCAGCATGGCTTTTAACATTGATAATAATTCCGCATCAGCTTATTAAAATGATTTCTGAGGGATCATGCGACACTGAAGACTGGAGTAATGATGCTGAAAATGCAGCTTTCCAATCACAGGAATAAATTGTATCTTAAAATATATTAAAATAGAAAAGAGTTAGTTGTAATAATATTTCATAATAGTACTGTTTTTATTGTATTTTTGATCAAATTAATGTAGCCTTGATAGGCACAAGAGTGTATAATTACAATCAACAATTATTGCATTATTCATCACACAGGCAGAATCATACACACACACACACACACACACACACACACACACACACATTCAGACACATCTGCTCTCACAGTCCAAGCAGTAATAAACGGCATTAACGGAGCCCAGTCTCACTGTTTGGGGACGAGGTCAAAGCGCATCCTGTTGAGCAGTTCGTCTTCCTGCAGCATCACCAGAGCCACGGCGTACATCTGCTCAAAGTCAAACTGGAACTGCACTCCGGCTGGAGGGTCGCGCAGGAAGTTCCTCTTGTCCTGAACGACAGACACACACACACACGTTTGTTTTTGTGAATTGTGGGGACATTCCATAGGCATAATGGTTTTTATACTGTACAAACT